GAAGCTTAAATTTGCAATTGAAACCAGCTGCTCTTTGGCTTACTCACTTTCTATTTCCTGAACAAAAATAAGCAGTATGTCCTACCAGAATCTCAAGCTTTTGAAAAACATATCAGTTTTCATGAACTGTGAGACCAAGAGTTCTCTGCTGCTTCAAGTTTCAGTGAGACTTTTGCCTAAGAAAGTATAGCAGAATTGCTTGACAATGCCCAGAAACAGTTGCCTTCTACTTAGCAGGTCTTTTTGATCCCAGCTTATTTTGTCTTGGGAGAAAAAATAATGTGACAATTAGATGTAAACCAAACACATTCGTTCACCTAGAAGCATAATTAACAAATATTAGACACAAATATTAGTCACAAATATTAATGTTGGGTAGAGCATATCACATTTATCCCCTCAAGAATTTGGTGCTGGTATAAGTTGCTTCATAAGAAAAGTGCATCTGCATATGACAATGCAATTAATGGTGTATGGAAAGTCTGTGAGTGTCTAGAAGGAATTTAGCATAAAAAACCTACTCTACTTTGGTTGTCATAGGATTGCCACAGATGTAAGGACAGTTTTTCCTCCCACCACCCATCTGGCTGTGATATTTGCTACTGCAAAAACTCAGGCTGCTCCTAAGGCACCTCAGCAGACCCCTGTGGAACTGGCAGCAAGCTGATACATGTGAATCCCTCTCCAGACAACAGAAAATTAGCTGGGAACACGACAGAAAAACTGCTAATGCCCAGAGACAAGCTGCAAGCAAGTTTCTTGTCTGGAGACAGGTACAGCTTGCTTATCTTCAAGTTATGTTTTCCAGCCTTCAGAAAACTCATATGTAATGAGCTGTACTTGGAAGATACGTTTTATGTTGCTTTTGCAGTGATAATATACACTTTCTGCCTTGAAATGAGATTTGCAAAAGACAAAAAGCAGCTCTGGAGAAGAGTTATGAAAATACACTGCTATGTTTTTCTCACTTCCAAACACAGAGTAACATTTGCATTACAAGCAAGGAATCTAAACAGGCAACTGAGCAGAAAGGAGAGTTGGAAACTGCAAATATATAGGAAGTTCAGAAATGCAGAAGTTGATCCTAATGTTTACCCATATTCTAATGCTTCAAGAAGATTGAATACTTTGACACAAGTTGAACAGCCTTTGCCAGCCAGACTGTTGTTGCCTTGGCTCTGTGACAAAGCCAGTCTGTACAGGAACACTGGCATCATTTTCTGATCAACGTGAGCCCTAAAGGCATTAAACCTGAGTTGCGGTCTGACATGTTTTCCTCCCTCAATTGTCACTTCTCTGCATTGCCACCAGCTTTTTCTTGAGCAGTTACAGTCTGATATCCTGCTTGTTTAAAGCATGGTCAGACGTTTAATTCAGATTATAAGAATTGGTTTTCATACATTTCATACATTCTGCTATGCTTGGTAAGGAGACAGAAGGTTGTAGTATACTATGGCAGTGCAGAAAAGGTTGCTTTCAGCGTATGGTGATATTCAGTTTCTGTTGGTTCCAATGATATTGCAAGAAAAAGAGGAAGCAGGAGAGCTTTAGCAATTTTTGGATTAAGCTCTTGCGCAGCATAATAATTAAATAGTTAAACTAAGCATGTGCTTATGTTCTTTTTATGAAGGAGAGACATGGAGCAACTGTGGCTATAGCAGGATACAAGTGGCTTACTCCAGTAATCCATGCAGGCATCCTGCACAAGATGAAATGCTGCACATTTTTGTAGTTCTGTCCACTAATATTTGTCTTTGCTTTCACAGATATTTACTATCTAGTAAATGAGTCTTATAATTCCGAATAAAAGTAAAACTGGTTAGATATTGTGAAATCAAACATCAGATGCTCAGAAAATATAGCTCCATTGATGGCAACTGAAGCACAATAGAGTTAAGAACTTCATAACTCAATTTGCTAGCTAGCTTCTCTGCTCAGATGTGACATAATCCCTCAAAGGGCACTTTACAGAGCACTTTCAGAAAGAGCTTAGGGTTTATTCATTGCTACTTACTTCACAAGCTCATATTGTCCACTGCAATCACTGTTGCTGCTGCAATTCAAATTTCTCTTTTGTTGACTTTGATTGTAATTATGTATGTTGCCAAGCAGAGTGAACATGAGCAAATGCACCAGTCAATGATACCACAGGCTGGATATTAGCTCCTGCAGTCACATCTCCCACCTGTCTTTAAATCATTTAGTGTAGTCTAGCACTGCCTCCTTGGAAGCAAGGAAGCCAAGCAGACTCTTCTTATAGTTTTTTAGTAGCTGTCACCAGTTTAAAATTACTTAGCCTTAGTAGATATTCCATCTTTACTTCATAGCACAATGGACCTGACCTAAATCAGTGAAGACAGATTCCTGTCAAAGCTGTAGTAGACATCAGAGATGGATGAGAATACTTAGAAGAAAACAACTATTTTAGATCTTTATATGGCACAACTCAAATTGAATTTATTATGAAGTTCTGAAATGTCCAAACACATTTTACTGCCTTCTGGTTTCCAGATGACTCTGCATCCAGAACACCAGGATACCACAAAAATGCTGCTTTTTTTCCTGCTGCAATCAGACGCAGCTCCAACAGAAGGCTATAGAAAAGTCTGATTCTTAGAAAATGCCTCTCAGTTTTTCAAAATAAAAGAAGTTTAGATTATTTAAATGAACTTTGTAGGGGCATCCAAACATTTAGAATTGCATTAGCACACAAATTTCAAACCCTTGGAAGCATATCCTTCCCTAGCTGTTTGCTCCTAATGAGGGAATTGGAGTACTCCAGTGGGTAAAATTCAAGAGACAGGATTCTGGTTTAGCCCAGCTCTAATTTAATAGGTGGCTTTGACAGTATCACTTAAATTCTCCACTGCTCTTTTTCCCTGTTGATGTAGGGAATCATGCTTTTAAAGCAATTTGTTTGAGTGTCAAGTTAGCACCCTACTATTATTATTACTACTTTATTGACTGCAACCATGTGCAACGATAAATTTAACATTTTTGGAGACCAATTGTTATTCAGCATCCCACTGGATTCTATTCAAAATCGAATAACTGACCAGCATTTTGGGGTTTAATCAGCAAGGTATCAAGAGCCCCTAGGATTAGCTGACTCTGAAAGTTGAAGGTATACAATAATTTCAGAAGCTGTACAGCACTTTGCAAGATCAAGATCATAAGGAATTTTTTTAATATTTGTACTTCCATTGTAAAGCTATTGTCTGCCTTTCCAATTTGGCTTTGCAGTCCTTGTATTCAGCAGGTTTACACAGCTACATATGCACACCCTGTTCAAAACAGTTGTCCGTATCAAGCACACCATATGGAAATGTGCATGCTTATGCACAAACCACATGGTGACGTGCAGGAAAATGAAGGTGCTTTTAAAGTTTTTATCTTTATCTGATAAAATGGAAAAACAAGACAAGGTAATAATTTAACCAAAGAATACCTTCATTTATATTAGTTCCCAGGATCTAGTAAGAGGGGATAATATCTAAAGGAACAACTACAAATAAGTGAAGTAGGTGAATACCAACTTTTGGGTTCATATGGGAGTTGAATGATACTTGCAGCAATCCTGACTCATAATAAAAGTGATTTATTTAAAGATTTATTATGAACATTGCAGGAAAGGAGATAACAGACCTGCACCACTTTGTTTACAGTAAAATTTCCTGTAAATTAAAGAGTTCTTATTCTCTGTTTGTTTTTGATTTGGTATTGTACCAAGTATCTGTTTATAAAAGGAAATATGACAGCACAAATTGTACAAAATGAATTGCAGAGGAGATTAACAGTCAAGGTGAATTTGCTTTAAATTAAGTCCTAGCAACACAGACACTGTAGATCCCATTAAAGAAAGTTGATCTAAGACAGTTCTTTAACACACGATTACTAAGAGCTGAACTCCCTGAAATTCAGGCCAGAAAGCTGCTCTCCGAACTGGGATTGGTGTTAGCCTTGCAGCAAATGCATGGGTCACTCTCAGTGTCAGAAGAATATAACCCTAGCCATATGCCACGCTCGAACCTCCCTAATCTATGTGCTGTGCTGCGATGATCTTACCCCCAAGAGTAGGGCACTCCAAATGCTTCTTTCTGCACATTTCTGAGGAACTTCAGCTGCTATTGATGTTAATCAGAACTGGAGACCATCAGCACAATGCAGTAAGTGGAGACCCTAATAGAGCTAAAATAGTTTTACTGAGGTGCCAGTGTATGCAGTAATGACAGCAGAGACACATCAGTGAGAAAAAGCCTGAACTGCTTTTTAAAAAACGATTCACGTGATGAAGAGATAAAGCAGGAAAAACATGTTGCAGAGCACTACAAAAGAAAAGTTTGATATAAAGGAGGTAGTGTGTGTCAAAGGCATTATGTCTTGAGGACTTTTTCCTGTAATCCATTTTTGCTTATAATACTCCCTGAAGAGCTTATTAAAGAGTCTTTCTGAAGTCACATTTACATGACAAAGTATGTTGCAACCTCAAATCATCCCATCCCACAGAAAATCTTCTGGGAGGAGTCTTGGATGAAAATAATGCATTCATAGTTGAAAAGGAATAATGAAAACAGACGTCACATGTTTCATCAGAAAACTAGAAAATAACCTGTTTTGCAGAAGCAATTCCCTTAGCTGAATTAGCCCAAGAGCTACCCTGGTATCTCTAGAGATCAGAGAACCAAAACTAGGACTTCATGGATCTCCAAAGTATCCACTCAGGGAAAGAAAATGTTTGTGGATGGCAGTTCAGGATCTGGTCATATTAGTTCTCCTTGTACATATAACAAAAAATTTACATGGAGGATAAAATCCTGAAATTATTGACATTATCCAGAGGCAAGGAGTTACACGTATTTGTGGGGTTTACTCCGAACAGTTCTAAGATACGTTATTTGATATTTAGTGCTATAAAATTAAATCACATAGTTAATAAAACTGATTTACAGACAATCCTGTGTGTACAAGTTCAAAGGATTAGAAAGCATGCTGGCACTTACCCGGGGGCACATGTTCATTCATAATAACAAGTGATGCTGGTGTAGGCCTTCTTTTCCTGATCTGTAACGGGCATAAACCAAGGCGAGTCATTAGGGTCCATCAACTGCCCCGCACACAAAGCAAAGCAAAAAATCTATCTGGTGTCCTCCTGAGTATAGACCAGGCAAAGTTAAAAAATAAAATATTTATGGAACAGCAATATGTTATTGTCTTACTGACTGCTCAGCTGGTCTGACAGCAATCAGGGTCATGCTGCTGCTTGTACATGGAAAGCAAAAGCACAGTGGAGAGCTTTCCAAAATACCTTTAGGATCTGCAGTCATCTTGAATGAATTTTTGGACATGTATCCAGACATATATCAGTCGTATCTTAAAATATTGACATTCAGCTTTGTGTCAGGAAAATGATTGCAGTAGTTTGTGAGCTTATATGTGCAGATACTTAGTACTGTCATAGCTCTCATAAGTAATCATTAATATTAATATTTTGTAAGTGCACTTGAGAGATGATATTGCATATATGCCTTCCAAAGAATTTATGGTAGTTCTAAACTGTGACCAGAGGTGTTACTACTGTTCTTTAGCTAAAGAAAAACAATACCTAAGACCTTCAAAAGAATATTTTCAAAGAGCACTATACAACAGATCTTTACATATCAATATACAATGCTGAATTGTGTTCAACTCTTCTTATTCAGAGTTTATTTGGTTAAGTACTTTTGTTCCATTAACACTGGTTGAACTACATGATATTGGACAACCTTCCTACAATTCACACATTTGCACTGAAAGCTTTGCGTTTCTTCACTAAAGCCTCCAGGCTATTGATATTCTATCTAATTTAGGATGGGGACCAAGAGTATTTAAGCTAGAAACCATTCTGACACAAAACCTCAATGTCAGTGTGTTTGTTCCTTTTCAGTTGCTGAGCCAACATCTGTATTTAGCTGGGTTCAAATTTTGCTTTCAGGGGTGTAAATGGAAAATTGCACCATCAGGGTTAATGGGTTTATTCCAGACTAGTGTAACTGTAGCTGACAGCAGAATTTACTACTTTAATTTCATCACACCCCCACAGTGAAACTGTATAGCACCTGGAATTAAACTCACAACATTAAAAAAAAAAAGGACTGCCCATAAATACTGGGCAGAATTTGGGCCACAGCATTTTGAAAGCCATGGGAATTCCAGGAAATCCTAATCCTGTGGTTCTCACAGATTTCAGAAAACTATCAGAACACATTCTGCTTGAATTCATTGCAGGATCGTTCCATAAGGTATGGGCATCTCGCAGCTCAGAAGTACCTATGGACAAAATGAAGACCCGCAGCAATTCTCTCCTGTACCCTTCTAATATTTCTTCGTGATCGCTCACAACTCATCATGTTCTGGCAAAGGTGGCTGCCTTTTAAGAGACACGACATCAGAATATTCAGGAAACCCAATACCTGTCCTAAAGGTGCAAATAATTTCATATAACTAATGCCACAGAACTGTCAAGGTTATAATATTCCCCTGGTATCATCTAAAACTGTCAATGTTGTAATATTCCCCTTGTATTATCTAAAACTAGACATACAAAAATAGAAACAAATGTCAAGAAGGACTTGCGCTGAGAGAAATATAATGGGTCACCTAATTACAATTTATCCAGCTTTTCTCATAAGAGTCCCTGTGTCTTTCTTTATGTACACCTACACATATTTGCACACAATAATAGATATTTTTCCCTCCTTAGAAATCTGTATTGCTATATATATTATATGTTTGTGTATGTTTTGGGAGTGAGTCAAAACCTAAAATAGCACACACATAATTCCAATGTGGACATTGCTACACATATATATTTTTGAAATATGTAAAACACTGTAACAATGACATAAAGAAAACTGTATAAAAATCATGAGAAATAGAGAAGGTAACTGAAATGATAACTATTGTGCAAAACATAACTCATATTTTCTCATGTTACCATGAATGGTAAATAAGCTGTCTTCTGTGCAGTATTTCCATGAGGTATCTATAATCAGCTTCATGGTTTGCTTTATGTACTTTATTTGCTGAGAATGTGCACTCATATGAAGTGTACGTATTAAGGTAGAAGTCCAGTTATAGAAAAGGCACAACAAATATATACTGAATAAGCCTACCCAAGGTAAAGAAGCCTTATTCTGGCTAGAGGACGTATCTTCCTCCCTCTTTGGGTATATCCAGACATCGCATCTGGACACTTCCAGAGCATTTAATCTGTAGTAACACTAATGTAAGTTAGAAAGGCATTTAGGGCACAAGTATTACCTGTTCTCACCCCACCTTCTACCCCCGTTCCTATCCCATTCCCTCAAAACACTGAAAGAAACTTGTCTTCCTTACCTGCTCAGCTGCCTCGGGATCTATTTGACTCTGAAACAACGGCACAGCAAACTGTATTTTTTTAGGGCTGTTGGGCTCCATCGTGATGCTGAGGTGAGTCAGACGAGAGAAGAGCCTGGAGCTTGGGGCTCGGTCTGTGCCTCTGCCCAGACACCCTCCCCACAGACAGGCAGAGTGCTCCTCAGTAACAGCTGCAACTCCCGACTTAGCACGGGAATCTGTGTGAGCCGAGCAACTCCCTTATTCCACATCCACAGAGATGCCACTGGCTTGGATATTTTCTTTTTTTTTTCCCCTCTCCCTTCGCTTTTGCAGTCCTTCAGATCCCCTCAGCACAAAGCTGAAAGGAACAATAAGCTAATTGTGTACCAGTACACTTCTACATATGCCAAGCATTCACTCAGAAGCTAATTGAAAATGCAATACTAACATTGCATGGCCTGGAGCCCTGGGATTTGAAAAAGAGGATCTCTCCACCATACATTACTAACTGGCTGCTCAGAAGTGCAATGCAAGCTCCCTTTGAGTATTGCTGATGGGCTCTTAATTATTGATGAACACAAATCAGGAAGTTTTCAGATTTTGGGGGTGGAGGTAGCAGGAGGGGCGGATGCAG